TTTCAGAGTCCGCTTCCAGTCGGTCCATGCGCCCCTCCCAGGTTCCACGTCGACCGCCCTCTTCGAGCTGCGTCCAGCTGCGTCGCGATGGGGGGCTGCCCCGAAGGCCAAAACGAGGAGGAGGAGGAGGAGGACAAGGATGAGAACGAGGATGATGATGATGATGATGATGATGATGATGATGATGATGATGATGATGATGATGATGATGATGATGATACTGATGATGATGATGATGATGATGATGCTGATGATGATGATGCTGATGACGATGATGATGATGGTGCTGCTGCTGATATTGATGAGGATAATGAGGATGATGATGCTGCTGTTGCTGATGATCATGGTGCTGCTGTTGATGATGAGGAATATGAGGATGAGGATGATGATGATGATAATAATGATGATGATGCTAATGATGCTGATGATGATGCTGATTATGATGACGCTGCTGATGATGCTGATGATTATGCTGATGATGAGGATAATGATGATGCTGATGATGATATTGATGCTGATGATGATGATGATGATGATGATGATGATGATGATGCTGATGCTGATGCTGCTGATGATGCTGATGATGCTGCTGATGATGATGCTGATGCTGCTGCTGATGATGATGACGAGGATTCTGCTGCTGATGCTGTTGGTGATAATGATGATGCTGATGAGGATGAGGATGAGGATGAGGATGAGGCTGAGGATGAGGATGAGGATACTGATGATGGTGACGATGATGTTGATGATGATGATGATGATGATGATGATGATGATGATGATGGTGGTGTTGATTATGAGGATGATGATCGTGATGCTGATGATGATGATGATGATGATGATGCTGATGTGTAATGTGATGATTATGATGATGACGATGATGATGGTGATGCTGGTAAAGATGACGATGATGATGATGCTGCTGCTGATGATGATGCTGATGCTGCTGCTGGTGATGATGATAATGCTGATGAGGATAAGGGTAGAGATGAGGATGAGGACGAGGCTGAGGATGATGATGCTGCTGCTGCTGATGATGATGGCCAGTATGACGACGCTGATGATGATGGTGATGATAATGATGATGATCGTGATGATGATGATGATGATGCTGATGCTGCTGCTGCTGATGATGATGATGCTGATTATGAATATGATCACGCTGCTGCTGATGCTGATGATGCTGATGTTGTTGACGATGATGCTGATGGTGATACTGATGGTGATGACGATGCTGTTGCTGATGCTGATGATGCTGATGATGCTGATGATGCTGATGAATGGTATGGTGTTGATGATGACGATGATGATGAGGACAAGGATGAGGATGAGCATAAGGATGGTGAGGATGATGAAGATGTTGATGATGATGATGCTGCTGATGATGCTGATGATAATGTTGATGCGGATTCTGATCAGGATGCTGCTGATGATGATGCTGTTGAGGATGACAATGCTGATGGTGGGGATGATTGTGAGGATGGTGATTATTAGGATGCTGATGAGGATGATGCTGCTGACGCTTTTGCTGATGATGATCATTATGACGAGGCTGATGATGATGCTGATGATCGTGATGCTGCTGATGGTGATGACGATGATTCTGATCATGATGCTGTTGATGATGAGGATGATGGTATTGTGATGGTGATGATGCTGATGATGCTGATGATGATGCTGCTGATTGTGATAATGCCGCTGATAATGATGATACTGCTGGTGATGATGATAAAGACGACGATACTGATGATGCTGATGATGCTGATGACGTTGATGATGATGATGATGATGATGATGATGATGATGATGATGATGAGGATGAGGATGATGAGTATGATGAGGATGATGAGGATGCGGATGATGGTGCTGATGATGATGCTGCTGATGATGCTGCTGGTGATGATGCTGCTGCTGATGACGATGATGATGCTGCTGATGATGCTGATGATGATGACGACGATGATTATGATTATGCTTATGATTATGATGAATGATGATGCTGATGCTGCTGATGCTGATGATGATGGTGGTGAGGTTGAGGATGAGGATGAGGATGAGGATGCGGATGAGGATGAGGAGGGGGAGCAGGAAGAGGAGGAGGAGGAGGAGGAGGAGGAGGAAGAGGAGGAGGAGGAGGAAGGAGGAGGAGGAGCAGGATGAGGAGGAGGAGCTGGCGGAGGAGGAGGAGGAAAGGAGGAGGAGGAATAGGAGGTGGCGGCGGCGGCGGCTGCCGCCCTCGTTTTGTTTGTTTGTTTGTTTTTCTCTCTTTTTTCTTTTTCCCCCCATTCTGTTTGGTGTTTTGTTTGTTTTGTGGATTCTCGTTTTTTTCGTTTTTGTGTTGTTTGGTTGTTTTGGTTTTTGTGGTTGTTGATTTTTTGGTTGGTTGGTTGGTGTGTGTGTGTGTGTGTGCTTGTGTTGTGTTGCAGATGTGTATGTCAGAAGGGGGAGAGAGAGAGAGAGAGAGCGACCTAGAGAGAGCGAGAGAGAGAGAGAGAGAGAGCGGGGGAGTGTTTGTGAGCGAGAGAGAGAGAGAGCGAGAGAGGGAGAGAGAGAGAGAGAGAGAGAGAGAGAGAGAGAGAGAGAGAGAGAGAGAGAAAAAAAGAGAGAGAGAGTATGTGCGACCTGCAGCACGCCAGGACGAGGGAGGAGCAGGAAGAAGAGGAGGCGGGAGGAGGATGAAGAGGGAAAGGAAAGGAGGAGGATGAGGAGGATGAGGAGGAGGAAGAGGAGGAGGACGGGGGAGGAGGAGGAGGAGGACGAGGACGAGGAGGAGGAAGAGGAGGACGATGAGGAGGAGGAGGAGGAGGAGGAGGAGGAGGAGGAGGAGGGAGGAGGAGGAAGAGGAGCAGAGGGAGGCGGAGGCGGAGGCGAGGCGGGGGCGGAGGCGGAGACGGACGCGGAGGCGGAGGGGAGGAGGAGGAGGAGGAGGAGGAGGAGGAGGAGGAGGGAGGAGGAGGAGGAGAGAGGAGGCTGTGGAAGACAGGAGGAGGAGTGTGAGGCGGAGGAGGCGGAGGAGGCGGGGGAGGAGAAAGAGGAAGAGGATGAGGAGGAGGAGGAGGAGAAGGAGGGAGGAGGAGGAAGAGGAGGAGGAGGAGTGGGAGGGGAGGAGGAGGAGGAAGAAGAGGAGGAGGGGATGAGGAGGAGGAGGAGGAGGTCGAGGGAGGAGGAGGAGGAGGATGATGATGATGATGAGGAGGAGGAGGAGGAGGGAGGAGGAGGAGGAGGAGGCGAAGGAGGACGAGGAGTAGAGGGAGGCGTAGGCGGAGGCAGAGGCGGAGACCGGGGCGGGGGCGGAGGCGGGCGCGGAGGCTGAGGCGGAGGAGGAGGAGGAGCGGGAGTAGGAGGAGGAAGAGGCTGATGAGGAACAGGCGGAGGAGGAAGAGGAGGATGAGGAGGAAAAGGAGGAGGAGAGGAGGAGGAGGCGGAGGAAAGGAGGAGGAGAGGAGGAAGGAGGAGGCGGAGGAGGAGAGGCGGAGGAGGAGGGAGGAAGAGGAGGAGGAGGAGGAGGAGGAGGGCGGAGGAGGAGGAGGAGGGGAGGAGGAGGAGGAGGAGGGAGGAGGAGGAAAGGAGGATGAGGAGGAGGAGGAGGAGAAGGATGACTAATCAACTTCGTATCACAAATAGTGATACTGCTCAACACAGCAATACTAACACGACGGCTAATAATAACACTATTATTACTCGTGCTACGAGTAATCTGGTTCGTGGTAACAGTAAGGAGCTAGTAATACGACGATACTTGCGATACTCATATTGTTAAGCAGACCATGAGCTAATAAACATTATTATTTGTACGATGGGTAAATGTAATACTAGCCATGCCAATACTATGACTGCTAGTGTTATGAGAATTGTAGTAACACTATAATGATGACCAATTGCACATGGGTATCACTACGGACACTACACAAGTATGAGTGATATCAACATTACTACTAATACTAACGACTATACTTGTATATTTACACCGTCAATGCACTTACGTAGTCGTACTAAGAGTATTAACGCTATACTGCTAATGGTATTACGAACCATCGCAATACTAACTACTACTACTACTACTACTACTACTACTACTACTGCTACTACTACTACTGCTACTACTACTACTACTACTACTACTACTACTCATAGTAGCGATACTGATAATGCTACTACTCTTAAGCTTGACGCCATTCTTAACATCTACAATGCCGTTCGAATACTTCGTACAATGTTAATGCGAATGCTCACACTACGACCTTTTCAATCGCAACTATAGTAATGTTACTAATGCGGTTACTAATGCTAACTACAATGACAATGCGAATGCGAATGCTTCTGATACGAAGGTTAGCATGACACTAATACACTATTCATGACAATGCGAATTCGGATAAGTAGAAGAAACAGAGGAGGAGGAATGGGAGGAGGAGGGGGATGTGTACGAGGAGGACGAGGAGCAGCATGATGGAGAGGTGGACGAGGAGGATGATGATGAGGATAAGGAGGAGGAGGAGGAGGAGGAGGAGGAGGAGGAGGAGGAGGAGGAAGAGGAGGCGGAGGTGGAGACGGAGGCGGAGGCGGGCGGAGAGGAGGAGGGGGGAGGAGGAGGAGAGGAGGAGGAGGAAACGGACGAGGGGGTCGAGGAGGATGAGGAGGAGGAATAGGAGGAGGTGGCGGAGGAGAAGGAGGAGGAGGTCGAGGACGAGGACGAGGACGAGGAGGAGGTGGAGGAGGAGAAGGAGGAAAAGGAGGAGGAGGACGAGGCGGAGGAGAAAGATGACGAGTCTGAGGAGGAGGAGGACGACGACGAGGAGGAGGAGGAAGAGGAGGAGGAGGAAGAGGAGGAGGAAGCGGAGGCGGAGGCGGAGACGGAGGCGGAGGCGGAGGCGGAGGCGGAGGCTGAGGAGACTGTCGCCTTCTCCGTCGTCGATGCCCTCGCCGCCGCCCTCGCCGTCATCGCCAGCGTCATGGTCTCGCCGCCGCCGCGGCCGCGGCCGCCCGAGGGCCCTCCGCAGCCGCCCGAGGGCCCTTGGCAGCCCGAGGGCGGCCCGCCGCGCCGCGGCCGAGCCCGCGATATGCGCCTCGGCGCCCCCGCCTTGCAGCACCTCTTCGAGGCCGCGGGCGGCGCCGAGGCCGCGGCGCCTCGGCATCGTCGCCGCCGCCATCGCCGTCGTCGCCGCCGTCGCCGCCGCCGCCGCCGCCGCCGTCGCCGTCGCCGTCGTCGTCGTCGCCCGTCGTCGTCGCCGCCGTCGCCGCCGCCGCCGTCGTCGCCGTCGTCGTCGTCGTCGTCGTCGTCGTCGTCGCCGTCGTCGTCGCCGTCGTCGTCGCCGTCGCCGTCGTCGCCGTCGTCGTCGTCGTCGTCGCCGTCGCCGAGGCCGCGGCGCCCGTCGTCGTGGCGCCCCAGCGCGGGCGCGGCGAGTTCGACCAGGCGCGGCGCCGGCCCCCCCCCCGCGCGCCCGCCCGTGGGGGGCGCCCCCGGGCGCGGGGCGCTCGCCCCTCCGCCGCGGCGGCGGCGCCCGGGGCCCGGGGGCCCGCGCGGAGGGGTCCAGCTCGAAGATTGCCGCAGGCTCCAGAGAGGTCCAGCACAGGTGGGTCCAGATGGGGGTCGAGCGCGGCTCGCGGGCGAAGAGCACGGCCGCATCCGCGGCCTCGCGGCCAGGCCCTGCGGCCGCGACCCCGCGGAGGATGCGGGGCGTCGTGTCGCGGCTGCCCCGCGCGGAGCGTATCCGTGCGACCGCGCATCCGCGCGATCGCGCCCCGGGATCCAGACCGTGAGGGCACGGATGTGGGCTGGGCGGGACTAGGACGAGGATCAATCCGTTCCAGAGCGTTCGGGAACGCTCTCAGAGCGTTCCGGGACGCTCCGAGAAGGCCGCGGCGCCCGCGACAATCTTCATGCCGCTGGACCTCAGAGATTTTTCGATTTGTCCCTTCCCGATTTTGGGCTCGTCCTGGCTTCGTCTTCTGGGGTCCAGGGCTCGGGCCGTGATTTACTGCGATTTTTTTTTTCGCAGCGTCGGATTTCAGGGCAGATGAGCTCGGATCCGGCTGAGCCTGTGCTCACGCTGGGACCACATCGTGTGGTGAGACAGTGGGGATTCGGGGTCGCCGCGCGGTTTTGGAACTCGGGTCGTTCTTCGAGGATGTCTCGGACGACTGGGGCCTCCAGGGCCCCGCAACCGTGTGGTCGCACCGCGCGGTGATGTCGCCGGGGATTCCGAGGTCACCACGCGGTCCGTCACTGCAGGGTTTTGGGGAGCCCGAAGAGGTGGTCACCGCGGCGGTGGTGCAGGACGCCGCGGGGGAAGAGGGCATCGCCCAAGCATTGCTCCTGCTGCGTGTGCGTCGGCCGTCCACGGGGCGACGCGCGTTGCCCTGGACTCCTCTCGTGTGCACTCGGCGGCGGGCGCTGTCTGGCCGTGCCAGCCGGGGAAACGATGTGCTGCAGTACGGTTGTGCTACATGTTCGGCTCTGAAGTCCGCCTCCAAGAGGGGTGGGTGCACAGTACCAGTGTGTCCTCCTGCGCATCTGCCCAGAGGACAGAGGCAACGACGAGGAGGAGGAGGAGGAGGAGGAGGAGGAGGAGGAGGAGGAGGAGGAGGAGGAGGAGGAGGAGGAGGAGGAGGAGGAGGAGTGCTCCAGAGTACGAGCATCATCATGCTGCTGCTGGATCTCGCGCGAGATCCCTCTGCAGTGTGCCGGGCGAGCCCTTGAGCGCCGGCCGAGAGCCGCACAGGCAACTGCAGGGAGCCAAACGGACACGATGCGTGCCGCCCTCTGCTGCCCTCCTACCGCTGTCGGGCGCCTCTGCCCCGGACGGGTGGTGCCCAGCGCCGGCTAACCACCTCGCCTGCACCGACCCAGGCCAGGCCATTCCTGGGCCCAGGATGGGTGGACCCAGACTTCAGTGCCGCGCAGTGTCGCCACGGACCTCCTCTACAATGTCTTGCGCCTGGCGGCCGCTTTCAGGGCCCGGGGCCCGCAGCAGAATGCCCGTCCCAGGGTTGAGAGGCCCACATCGCGAGCAAGAGCCACGACATCGGAGTCCACTGTGGCCCCTGGGTCGGACCGGCTCGCTGATCCGTCCCCGATGCGGTGCGATCTGGAACACGCCGACGTCGCCGGCGCGTCTTCGGTGTGTCGGCGATGCGGCGCGATGTCGCGTTGGGCCGCCCACGTGCTCCAGCCTCTGGCGGGATGTCTCCCACCCAGCATCGGTGGTTTCGCCCTCGCAGCGAGGCTCAGAGTCGGAGTCCACACCCGCCGACCTTCGTCGCCACGGAGAGGAGCGGAGCCGTGGCCCTGCAGGCTGTTTTTCTCGCCGCTCTCGGGCTCCGGGGGCCCTCCCCTGGCGCCAGGGCCGTCGAAGAAGCGCCCCGGGGACGAGAAGCCAGGCCTGGATGCAGGGTCCAGGGCCGGAGTGAGGGAAGACGGCGCCGCAGCTCAGCCACGCGCAGAGGGGGGGGTGGGGAGAGGGGGGAGGGCTTCTTGGAAGCACCCCTGCTTTCTCAGAAGGCGCGGGCCTTGTCTATAGGTGCAGGCCGGCGCCTTCTAAGAAGCACCTCCCAAGAAGCCCTCCCCCCTCCTCCACCCCCTGGTGCGCCGCCAGGCAGCGCCCGCCTGCCCAGGGCCTAGGGGGGTGTCCCGCGGCCCCTCCCGGGTGCAGAGCTCCCCGGCCTGGAGCGGTGGCCCTATATATATATATATATATATAATATATATATATATATATATGTATATATATATATGGAGGAGGAGGAGGAGGAGGAGGGAGGAGGAGGAGGAGGAGGAGGAGGAGGAGGAGGAGGAGGAGGAGGAGGAGGAGGAGGAGGAGGAGGAGGAGGAGGGGATATATATTCTCATACGCACCTCTTCGAGGGAGTAGAGCTCAGAGGGGATTAATGCGTCCGTGCGTGCGTCCGTCTTTGATTTTAATGGCCGTTTCGCTAGGGACATCCTCGAAATTCTGAAAATCGGTGGCACCCCTCACGCAGATCGTGAAGGAGAGGTCCAAAAACACATAGGAATTTCAACATTTTAACATAAAACCTTCAAAAACACATGGTAATTTCAATAATTTTGACCCCGATTCTCAGAGAATGGCGGTTTCGCCTGAGACATCCTCCCAAAATCGAGCCCCAGACCCCTCTTCGGAGCCTCCTGGGGGCCTCCTGGAACCTCCTGGGGCCTCCTGGGGCTTTCTGGACCTTCTGGTACCCCAGACCCCGCCTCGGAGCCTCCTGGAGTTCTCCTGGGCCTGCTGAGGCCGCCTGGGGCCTCCTGGGGCCTCCTGGGGCTTCAGAACTACATGCACACACAGAGACACAAATCACGCCCAACACATCACACGCTAGACAAACATAACATACACACACAACACCGACAACACACAAAAAGCACGCACCACACAAAGCACACATCACACACACAACACTCACAATCCTGGGGCCTCCTGGAGCCTCTTCTGGTATCCAAGTCGGGCCTCCTGAGGCTTCCTGGGGGGCCCTGGTACACACATCGCAAGGTGTGGCAACCCCACTTGCGCTCGAGTGCGACTTCGCTGTTGCATGTCACTCCTGCTTCAAACGCCCCTTCAGCTTGTTGTATGAGCCTGGACACACACGTGCCACTTGTATATATATATATATATATATATATATATAGCAGGGCCTACCTTCGGCGGCGAGCGCGGGGGGAGGCCAGAAGGAGAGAAGGCCTTCTCGGAAGGCGCTGGGGCTTCTGCTCAGAAGCCCTCTGAGAGAGGCTCTCGGTGTCTTCGGGGAGGGCTTAGAAAATTAGGTCGAGTCTGTCCCTCTACGCGAGGAGTAATCCAAGATAGTCAAACATAGTCTGGGGACGATTTGTTGACAATGATTTGGCCATTTCGTTTTTTTTTTTTGCTTCTTTGTATATATATTTTTCTTGACAATCTTTAACATTTCGTCCAACGCCGGCCCGTAGGAGGACATGCCCGACCGAAGCTTCGAAACCTTCTCAGAAGGCCGGGGGCCTTCCGAGCCTTCCGAGAAGCCCAGCCCCTTCTCGCTTCCCCCCCGGGGCTCGCCGCCGATTCCTGGCCAGCCACCTGGCATCGCTCGGACGTGTGCGTTTTTTCCTCGGCGAGGACCATCGAGGAGCATCCTCGATCATTTGGCGAAAAAACCACGCACGAAACCGAAAAACACACACAGGAAATGGACGTCCGAGCGATGGCCAGGCCAACTGTGCGACCACGCCGACATGGCGCCGCCGCTGCGGGAACCACGGCACTGGCGTCGCTGTGCGTGACCCGCGCAGCAAGTCGCTGGTTTCCAGGAGGGAGAACACACGCAGACACCATGAATCGTCGATACCCTGGAAAATATAGGAACATATGGGAGGTGGGGGGGAAGACAAAAACCCAGAAGATATAGGAACATATGGTGAACCCTGTTACTTGGTGTGTGTGTGTATTTGTGTGTCCCAGGGCCCCTTCGAATTCGCTGGTTTGCCGGTCCAGGGCCTGGTTCCATGAGGACGCGCTTCCCCGGTGCCGACCCAGGTCCAGAGGTCTGGCCTTCGGGGGCGGCAAAGAGGTGGGTGATGACTAGGGGGGGTGGATATCATGGCGGGGGCCATGATATCTCCCCAGATTTCATGGCGCCTCTCCTTATTTCATGACGTCCCGCTGGGCCGCGCACATGCCGCCGGTCATGATTTGCGCCCCCCCCCTCTTGGACACCCCCCTCTCGGCCGCTCCCGAGCTCAGAGCTCCCGAGGAAGCCGCCACAGCAGGGCCCACGCTGCTCGACGCTGCCCGACGCTGCTGCGCCGGGGAGTCGGCCGACGCGGCGGACTGCAAGGTCGCCCCGGAGGCCCATGCCGGGCGGCACGAGGTGCGGGACGCCTTCGCCGAGGACCCCTTCGAGCGGGAGTACTGGCGCCAGATCCAGGAGGCCCACGTGGCCAAGCAGGAGCAGCAGTGGCGCGTGGTGCAGGAGCGCAACCGGGACGAGGAGCGGAGGCTGCAGGAGCTGCGCCTGCGCGTCGCGGAGGGCGCCAAGAGGGAGCGCGCCGCGGCCTTCCTGAGGCGGGCGGCGAAGCCCGAGCCTCCTCCTCCTCCTCCTCCTCCTCCTTTTCCTCCCTCCTCCTCCTCCTCCTCCTTCTCCTCCCTCCTCCTCCTCCTCCTCCTCCTCCTCCTCCTCCTCCTCCTCCTCCTCCTCCTCCGGCCCGCGCCGATCAACGAGTCGGGCAGCTCGAGGGGCGGCGGGGGCAGGGTTCGGAATATGCGGCGAGCACTTGGCGAAGTAAGAGCCCTGCTCTCAAGTCGGGCCTGTCCCTCTACAGGGGGGGACCCTCAAAGATAGGCAAACAATAGTCTGGGGGCAATTTTTGGACAATTTTTTTGGCCGTGTCGGGGTATTTTTGGACCATCTTTATGTTTTGGTCCAACATCTCCCTGTAGGTGGACAGGCCCGACTGAATTTCACTCCCGCCTCCCATCGATGCAGGCCTCCTACCCCCAGCTTCAGGGGGGTCCGGTTTTTTCAGGCGCCCGAAGAAGGGGGGTCCGGAGTATGAGGCCGCAGTTGGAGGGGGGTCCAGTTTCTTTTAGGGGGGGTCGATGAAAACGGGATTCGGAGTACCCCCGCCTCCCAGCGATGCGAGAGAATCGATGGCTGGGGGGGGGGGTCCCTCCGCCGTGGGCGCCTCGCCTATGGCCTTCGCTCGCCTCTCTGTGCGGGCCTGCTCGCTCGGTCCCTGCTGCTGCCTGGGAGCCAGCGCTCGACTCTAGCCTCAGGTCGGGCCTGTCCCCCTACAGGCAGATTTTTGGGTGAAAATCAGACACGATTCAACACCTACCCAGACATGGTCCAACAGTGCTCAACACATCGCCCCCAGACAATTTAAAAAAAAAAGAATGCTATTTTGGAGTGTTCCTCCTGCAGAGGGACGGGCCCGACTTGACTCGAAGGATTGCAAAAAAAACCCGAAGGATTGCAACAAAAAAACAGGATTGCAAAAAACCCTGTTTTTTTGCAATCCTGGTTTTTTTTGCAATCCTTTGCAATCCTTCGCCCACGTCCAGACCACAGGAGCAGCGCAGAGAAACCGGGGCCGTCTGCGCCGACGCCGGCGCGTACGCCTCCCGCGCCAGGTCGCGCGCCGAAGAGCGCCCTCGCCGCCGGCGCCAGCGCGCCGGGCCGGCGGTCCGCGTCGGCCACTGCGCGTGAGGTCGCCGTGCTGCCTCGCGCCAGAGCCGTGTCTGTCGGGAGGGACAGGAGCACACACAGGCGCAAATTCGTCGTCGACTCCCCAGAGAGTATGGGAGAATTCGGGGAAGTGGGGGGGGGGGAAGCCAGAAGCCCAGAAAAGATGTGGGAAAAAAGATGTGGGGGCTCCTGTTGTTTGTGTCTCTTCCTTCGTGTGTCCCAGGGCCCCTTCGGTCTGATCGTCGCTCCGACGGCCTGGCGGGGCAGGGCTCGGGCGCCGCCGCCCTGCGAGGGAGCACGGCTTCCGCGGGCCCAACGCGCGGCGGCGCCGGCTCTTCGTCTGCGGCCGCTTCACCTACCCGCTGCACGCCGCGGCGCGGCTGAACAGCGCCTCCGCAGCCGAGGCCGGCCCGCCGCAGCGGGCGCCCGCCAAGCCGTAAGGCGGGCCCGTCCCTCCACAGGAGGAGGCTTCGAAACCAGTCCACAAGTAGCCCAGGGACGATTTTTAGCCCATTTTTGGGGTATTGTGGCATATTTTCGGACTACTTCTGGATTCCCCGTCAAACATATCCGCCTGGAGGGGGACGTGCCCGACCTAGCGCAGGTCGGAGGCCAGGATCCATCCGGGGGCTTTCCCGGCTCGGTCGGCTCGGCCGCGATCCCCCGTCCCCACCTGCTCCGGATTTCACAACAGGGGGGGTCGCGGTGTGATTTTAGGGGGGGGGTTGCTCTGGAAAGTCCTCTTCGAGGCTCGGGGGGGGGCCGGAGGCAAGATGCCGTCCTTTCACGCCTGCTCTGGGGGGGTGTCCCTACAACTTCTCTCGTCTGCGAGGGTTATGACTCCCCCTTTCATTACGAAACCTGGTGGGTCTTCGATCATGGACTCCTCGTCAACCGCAAGCATTCAGCTTTCGCGCCAGAGACCGCGGGAAACCGCCGAAGACCGCCGAAGACCGTCAGAAGACCGCCGAAGACCGCCGAAGACCGCCGAAGACGGCCCGAAGACCGCCGAAGACCGCCGAAGACAGCCCAGGGGAGCGATGGGTACCGCGGGGTCCATGGTCGAACAGGTGAGGTGCTCGGGCCCCACCTCGGAGGCCTGGGCCTGTGCACCTCAGGAGGGGAGAACACACACACAAACAGTCATCGATTCCCAGGAGAGTGGGAGACTGGAGCGTGGGGGCGACGACGAAAGTCCAGAGAATACGAGAACATGTGGGGAATCGTGGGATTTCTGCGCTCTTGTGCGTGTGTCCCGGGGCCCCTTCAGCAGCCCGTCCTCCTGGGCCCGCCGCCGACGCCGCCGAGGCGCATACGGGGAATCCTGGGATCTGCGTGCAACTTATTTATTGATTTAGCTATTTATGTATTATATCATATTTTATTCATTTTGTTTTATTAATCAATGCATTTATTGGTTTATTGTTTTTATATATTTATTTGTTTAGTTATTTATTGATTTATTTAGTTATTTATTTATTCATTTATTTATTTATTTATTTATTTATTTATGTATTTATTTATTTATTTTTTTATTTATTTATTTAGTTGTTTAATATATATATATATATATATATATATGTATCCTTAGCCCCCTTTCGCAGCACCCCAGCCTCCGGGGCCCGCCGCCGCCGCCGCCGCCGACGGCGCCCGCCCCCCCCCCCGACCCCGAGGCTCGGCGCGGCGGGCCCCCCGCCGCCGAGCCTGGGGGGGGGGCGGCGGGGCTCCCGAGGCGGGCTGCCGAGGCACGCGGGGGCCGGCCAGAGCGCCGGCTCTCTCCTGCAGCATCCTGCGGGGCCGGGGGGCGCCCTTCGCCCCCGGGAGCTTTTGGGGTGCCGGGCTCCTGCCGGAGGAGCTCGCGGGAGCCCCCGCGCGGGCCCCTTTTGGTTTTTTTGGGCGTGCAGGGCCCTTGCAGGATGGATGCCGCGGGGCCTGGCTGGCCCGGGGCCTGGATGGGCGGCCCGGGCCCGGAGCTCCCCGATTCGGCGGCGGCCTCCCCCCCCCCTCCTCCGCAGAGGAGCGCGCGAGCGGCGGAGGGGCCCGCGCCGGCCGCGCGCAGAGGGGGGGGGTGGCAGGTGGGCCCTGCCAAAGAGCAGGGGTGCTCTTGTTCGGGGATGGACAGACCTCCTACCCTGACACGTCGATTGAGGAGTTGGCCGTTTTCGGTTCGCGAGGGCGTCGCGGCCGTCATTTTTGCGGGTCCAGGTGCGTCGGTTTCGGTCCCAGGCCGTTTTCACTAAGTGGAGGTTTACTAAAGGGAGGTTTGTCCACCGCCGACTTGTGTCCCGTGCCTCGCGACCCATGCCTCCTGCACTCCTGTGGCAGCGTGGCCCTCGGGAGGGTCTCGTGTCCTCTCCGCGTGTCCTGCCGAAGCAAGTCCGGCCGTAAGGGGAGGGGGGAAGGCTGCTCAGAAGCACCCCTGCTTCTCAGAAGGCGCAGGCCTAGTCTATAACCGTAGGGGCCGGCGCCTTCTGAGAAGCGGCCTCCTTCTAAGAAGCCTTCCCCCCCCCCCCCCCCTGCCCCCTCATGCGCGCCGCGCACGACATGCGCGGCGACTGCGCCGCGCATGCCGTGCGCGGCGCAGTCGCCAAGGCCGCGCGGTAGCGGCCTCTTGCGCTGGCGGCCCGCGTAAGCCGCGGCGCATGGTCGCGGCGTCTTCTCGTCGCGCACACGCGCACAACCTCTCCGGACGCCCGCGGGCGAAAGGCCCCCCCGACTGCGACTCCGCACGCTCCCGCGCGGGGCGGGGCCTTCGGGCCCATATCGCAGGGGAGCGAAATCGACGTATCCACTGTCCAGGCCTGGCCCATCTGGACCCCGTCTCCCTCCATCGGCGATCCACGGGCGATTGGGGGTCGACGCTCCCATCCCGTGGGCGTTTCCGGAGGGGCGGCGCGGAGGGGCCCTGGCCACCGGCGGAGAGGCCGCGCCCCCGGGCTTGTGCAGGCCCCGCCTGGGCCTGTGCTGGCCTTCGCCTCCGCCGCCTCCTGCTCCTCCTCCTCCTCCTCCTCCTCCTCCTCCTCCTCGTCGTCGTCCTCCTCCTCCTCCTCCTCCTCCTCTTCCTCCTCCTCCTCCTCCTCCTCCTCGTCCTCCTCCTCCTCGTCCTCCTCGTCCTCCTCCTCCTCGTCTCCTCTCGTCCTCCCTCTCCTCCTCCTCCTCCTCCTCCTCCCTCCTCCTCCTCGTCCTCCTCCTTCCTCCTCCTCCTCCTCCTCCTCCTCCTCCTCCTCCTCCTCCTCCTCCTCCTCCTCCTCCTCCCCCCCCGGCTGCC